AGGGGGTGTCCCCCATCCTGCCAGGGGTCTGCAGACAGTGACCCTGCCTGCAGGGGGGTGTCCCCCATCCTGTCAGGGGTCTGCAGACAGTGGCCCTGCAGGGTGTCATCCCCCCACACCTGTCCTCTGGTGGTCGTCCTCTCCTGCCCCGGGGCTGTCCACTCCCACTGCATGGCCCTCCCACTCTGTCTGGCGTCCTGCTGAGCATCCTGCATCCTGACTGGGGATGCCAAGGGCTGGGTGGATCCAGGGCTGTGGGGCATGCGCCCCTAGTGGAACCCCTTCCCAGAGACTGTTGGGACAAGGGTGACCGTGACTGCCCGATGTCCCAGAGACCAGCATTAGGGCTGGGGTGCGTCTAAGCGGGGCTGGGGTGGACTGAAGCCCAGGACGGCAGCGGGCCCTGGCTGTGCAGCTGAGGCTGCTCACCCCAGAGCAGGTCTCCCAGGGTGGGGCCCGGGCAGCTCTGGCCCCGCGTGCGGCTGGCGGTTCAACAGACACCCAGCGGGGGCCCCAGACAGTGCTGCACAGTGCGCAACCTCCGCGCCTCCTGAGCCCCAGGGAAGGGCGATTCACCCAGGAGGGAGCGGCCTGCTGGCCCGGGCAGAGATGACGGGCGTCCCTCGGCAGGCGCTGGACGTCACGCAGCAGCTGGACGCCGGGGTGCGGTACCTGGACCTGCGCATCGCGCACATGCTGGAGGGCTCGGAGAAGAACCTGCACTTCGTACACATGGTGTACACGACGGCGCTGGTGGAGGTACACAGGGGCCTGGTGGGGCAGGAGGTCGGCTGCCAGGGGCGGGGCAGCCACGTGCAGGTCCAGGCTGGTGGTCAGACCTTGGAGATAGCCTGAACAGCGCTCCCTGGGCTTGGCGGTCTCCCCACTCAGTGGGCAGAGACTCCCCACATTTGCAAAGTGGGCGGAACCAGCCCCCAGACCCGTTAGGTTTTCGGAATCCATTCTCTTCCCGAATGCCCGGGCTTTCTAAAGTCTGAAGGGCACAAGCTGCGTCCTCCCAAAGCCTGCGGGCTGTTCCCTGTGTCCCCACCCCGTGTCCCCACTGCACCCCGGGCTCCCAGTCTAGAAGCACCTACTCTAGGTCACTTTGTACCGCTGGCCTGGCTCACGCCCCGGAGCCTTGGGACCCCACACCTTTGACTCACAGAGGCTTGTGTTTGGAGTGTGCTTCTACACAGACACCTGCACACGTGTACACACGCATGTGACACAGACACACGCAGAAATGCAGACACCCAGCATACACGCGCACACACACAGACATGCACGAATACACAGATACACACATGCACGTGCCGTGCAGATGGACACGTGTGCGTGTGTGTACGCGTGAACACAGGGCAGCACACAGATCCAGATTCACAAGTGCTGACATGCACACATACAGATGTGCATGCACACAACACGCACGTACAGGCATGTGCACGGACATGGATACAGACACCTGTGAACAGATATGCTCCGTGTGCACTCACACCCGTGAACAGACGTGTCCGTGCCCACAGGACCGTGCATGCCCTCCTGTGCCTGGGCCACCCTCCCTCCTGCTGGCTTCCCCCCGCCCCCCTCCCGGGAGGCTATGTGTCCTCTGGGCAGCCCGGCCTCCCGTCTGCAGCCGAGGAGGCCCACCTCCCAGGAGGCCCCTGGCCCTGCTGCCCTGTGGGCCCGACTGAGCCCTGGCCCCTCACCCAGGACACCCTCACGGAGATCTCCGAGTGGCTGGAGCAGCACCCCCGGGAGGTGGTCATCCTGGCCTGCAGGAACTTCGAGGGGATGACGGAGGACCTGCATGAGTACCTGGTGGCCTGCATCAAGAACATCTTTGGGGACATGCTGTGCCCCCGAGGGGTGAGGAGGGTGCCTGTGCCCCAGGGCTCTCCTGGGCACTGTGTCCAGGGCTTGGTGTGTGTGTCTGGTCTGGCGGGGACAAGCCGGTCATCAGGGCCTTCTGGCTTCCCTGTGAGGGGGGCCGGGCAGCCTGGCAGGGAGGGCCTCTGGGGCGAGCGTGCAGCAACGCGATGGTCTGTGTCACCCACCGGGCACTTGCCTGGGTCTCGGTGCCCTCACCTGGCACCCAGCCGGGGCTCAGGACATGAGACGCAGCCCTGGAGGCCAGAGGCCAGCCCCGGTGCTGACTGGGCTCCCGAGAGGATGCGGCCACCTTCCAGCTGCTGGGGGTGTCCTGCTGTGGCCCGGCATCCCGTGTGTCTGTGCCCAACACCCCCTTTGACAGCACGGGGCACCCGTCACGGGATTAGGGCCTGGCCCCTCCAGAGTGACCCATGCAGCTGATGAGACCCGCAAAGCCGTTCCCAGTAGGTCCCGGGTGGGGGCTTGGAGCGTGGGCTGGGGACACCGGTCGCCCTCAGCACAGCCAGGGGTCAGCTGTAGTAGGTCCTGCATCCGGGCCAGTCCCTGCAGGTGCCCTTCTGGGTCTCAGGGCCCTGGGTCACTGCAGGTGCCCTCCCGGGACACTAAGCCACGGCGTCACCTCAGAGGCGCAGTGCCGGGCGGGCCACCCAGCCCCAGGCTCCCCTCACCCGGCACCCCACCCCAGGGACCCCGTCCCTTGCAGGAGCTGCCCACGCTGCGGCAGCTGTGGGCGCGGGGCCAGCAGGTCCTGCTCTCCTACGAGGACGAGGCCTCGGTGCGGCGGCACCCGGAGCTGTGGCCGGGAGTCCCCTACTGGTGGGGCAACAAGGTCAAGTCGGAGGCCCTGATCCGCTACCTGGAGGACATGAAGCGCTGCGGCCGCCCGGGTAGGAGGCCGGCCCTCCCGGGCCCACGGAGGGGACGGTCAAGGAGGCGGCCTGGCCGGCGTCCCCTCACGCTCGTGTCCCGCAGGGGGCCTGTTCGTGGCCGGCACCAACCTCACCGAGGACCTGGAGTACGTGCTGGCGCACCCGGCCGGGTCCCTGAAGGAGGTGACCCTGTCCAGCCTGCCCGCGCTCGGCGCCTGGGTCCGCGAGCAGTGCCCGGGGCCCGGCGCCCGCTGCACCAACATCATCGCCGGCGACTTCGTGGGCGCCGACAGCTTCGTCGGCGACGTCATCGGGCTCAACCAGAAGCTGCTGTGGGGCTGACGGTCCCCTGCGGTCAGCCGGCGGCAGCCCGGGGGCAGCCCTGGCCCCGGCTGGGCGGGCGCTGCTCCAGATCCCGCGAGAAGACGTCCTCCGAGCTCCAGATCCCGCGAGAAGACCTCCATCCAAGGGATGTGCCTGTGGTCAGGGATGACCACGGGGTGGGTCCAGCGGGTGTGTCCCGGGCAGTCCCGACCTCGGGGTGGGTCCAACGGAAGTGCCCTGGTCAGCCATGGATGTGCTCATGGGCATGGCCATCATGATGGGTCCAGCAGATTTGTCTGTGGTCAACGATGACAATTGGGATGGGTCCAGCGGGTGTGCCCTGGTCAGCCGCGACCAAGGGATGGCTCCAACGAATGTGCTGTGGTCAACCATGACTGTTGGGATAGGCCAGTGGGCACACCCTGGTCAGCCATGACCATGGGGATGTGTCCAGCGGTGTGCCCTGGTCAGCCATGACCATGGGGATGTGTCCAGCGGTGTGCCCTGGTCACCGAGGCCTACTCAACCCAGCGGGAAGCATGGCCTGTGCAGGGTGGGGATGCTAGCAGAGGGGTCAGGGCCTCCTCACCCTGTGCTTTAGAAAGTCCCCGCTTCCAAGAGTGTCACGTCCCCTGGACGGATGGGGTGGGGACCTGTGCAGAGACCCTCTTGCAGTAGTCAACACATGGCCTGGCTGTCAGCTCACTCTGACGCCGCCCTTTCCCCGGGCAGCAGGCTCCTGGGGACCCTGGTCCATCTTGCTTTGGCCAGCTGTTAGTGGAGGGCCTGAGGGGTGGCCAGTGGGCGGTCCTGCGTCTGCTGGCCCCACAGTGTCACGGGCGGTCTGGTCTGTGTTCTAGTCTCTGCATCCTGGAGCTTGGGCACCTGGCCTTGCAGCCCGGGGTGGGGGGGGACTGTCCCCAGAGGTCAGAGGCTCCTGAGACCCCGCCCCTTGCAGGCGGGCTTCTCCAGGGCCAGCGTTTCCTAGACCCTCCTGGTGGGCACCCGCTGCTGGAGGCCCTGGGCACTGAAGGAGCCCACCCCGGGCTGTTTCCCAGCCTCCTGCCCACTGGGCAGGCCCGGGCAAGGCTGGGGGGCTCCCTGGGCGCTGGCCCTGCAGGCGCCCGTGACTGGGTCAATCTGGACCTCCCACAGCTGCTGTGGCTGGGGTGCCACCTCCCGGTCCCAGGTCCCTTTAAACCCCGCAGGTGGCCGAGAGGCCTGGTCCTGCAGCCTGCCGCAGCCCTGCAGAGCCGGTGTTCCCTGGTCATCTCAATGCCCACGACGTGTCACGGCACCCGTTACGGGCCGTCCTGCCGTCACAGAAGGGCGCAGACCTGGGTGTTCAGGACCGTCTGGAAATGGCGCCCTGGTCCGCGAAGCCTGTTGCACTTGGGACCCACAGGGTGGTTTCAGAGGAAACTGCTCGGGCTTTGTGGTCAACTGTCATGGCACTGCCGAGACGCGGCACAGCAGGACCAGCTCTGGGCACATCCCAGCACTGCCTGGCCCCTCCCCACCACCAAGCACCCTGGGGACAGCCCTTGGATGCTCAGGTCACAAGGGCGTCATTTCCTGTCTTAGGAGCCACCATTCAGGGTTAGTCCACCCTTGAGGACAATTAAAAGGAACCAAGCCAAACACGTGTGACTGTGGTGCCAGACTCGGGAACAGAGGGAGCCTGCGACAAGAGGCTGCTGCTGGGGGGGGGGGGTCCTGCCCCTGTCCCCTGAGAAGCCCAGGCCCTGTCCCTGGGACTCCGAGACCTCCAGCCTCGGCCCTGGGCTCAGGGAGGCCGCGGCGTGTCCCGTGGACCATAGGGACCCCAGCCTCCCTCTGGGCTCAGGGAGGCCCCTCCTCTCCCTGGGCCATAGAGACCCCCAGCTTCTTCCCATCCTCAGGGTCTGGGCTAAGGAGGCTAGAGTGAGGAGTCTGGTAAGACCCTGGGCAGCTGGAGGTCAGCTGGGGGACAGGAGCCTGGGCAGGTATCAGGAGACCAGATGGCCAGGGTGGGAGGTTCTTGATGATCTGAGCAGGACCCACAGCTGGACCCAGCCGCCCAGCAAAGGTGGGATTACAGGCCCTGCTGGGAGCGCGCCCTTCGCAGGGTCGCCTGAACCCTCCCCCAGACTCCTCCTCCCATCCAGACTCCTCCCACCTCCCACTGCTTCCTCTTACCTCAGGCTGCCTCCTCCCACCTCCCACAGGCTCCTCCCACCTCCCACAGCCCCCTCCCACCTCTCACAGACTCCTCCCACAGCCTCCTCCGGCCTCTTTCCACTCCTGCAGGCTCCTCCCACCTTCTGCAGACTCCTCCCACCTCCCAGACTCCCCTCAGGCTGCCTCCTTCCACTCCCATAGGCTCCTCCCACCTCTCACAGACTCCTCCCACCTCAGGCTGCCTCCTTCCTGTCCTGCAGGCTCCTCCCACCTTCTGCAGACTCCTCCCCCTCCAGCGGCCGGCTGCCCTCCTCCTTCCTGCTTGGGGCCCCTGATGACCCCTCCAGCATGAGGGCCTTCAATCACAAGGCCGCTGTGAGCCCGAACACGCGGCTGGACACGGAAGCGGCCCTGCTCCCTATTGGCCACTGTCCCCAGCAAGCACCCCAGCAACGAGCGGTGCTGTTCGCACACCTGACATGGACTTTAATAGCAGCAAGGACACCACAGGCTGACCAGCTGCGGCAGGGGTGCAGGCTGGGCCGACCGCCGGCCCTGCTCGGCCGTGGACGGGGTGGGGGTGCAGCCAGCGAGGCGGCGGCCACTTGTTTCCAGTTCGGAAGCCACACAGTGCCCAGCGCAGGCAAGTTCATCCTGGGAAGAGCTTCCGGAACTTGCCATAGGCCGAGGTGCTGATGATGACCTTCACGTGGGCTGCCCCGGCCTCAGGCAGCACGTCCACCTGCTGCACCGTGGCCTCCTTGTAAAGCCAGCTGGGGGCAGAGAGGCCCGTCAGGGCGTGGCCGTCTCTGAAGCCCAGCCCACCTCTCCCCACTGCCCACAGCGCTCCCCAGCCCCGGAAGGTGGTGGTGGGAGCGGCTCCTTCCGCCCCCAGGAGAGGGCCGCTGGAGGCCCGGGCACATTGGAGGTGGACAGGACGTGCAGCCCTGCAACATGAGCGAGCACAGCTTGAGCACCTGGTGTATGCACATGCCAGCATCAGCATGGACTTCCACGCCCACTACCCACCCTCTGTGCACAGAGGCAGCTAAAGGTGGCCATGCTGCAAGGCCCAGGCCCACCGCCGTCCCGGGGCAGACCCGGGTCTGCGTCCCTCACCTGAGCTGCGGCCCGGCCAGCTTGACGTGCAGGGTGAGCACCTGCCTCCCGGTGGCCCTCAGCACGGCCTCCTCCAGCCCCACCCTCAGCTCCTCCAGCCCCTGTCCCAGGAGGGCGGACACGGCCACTGCTCTCGGGTCTGGGGGACGGTACCTGAGAGAGGCCAGCACACCTGTCAGCCCTGGGGCAGCTGCAGAGGTGAGGTCCCACCCAAGGGGCCCAGCCTGGGTGCTCTGGGTGCTCCTCGTGGGACCAAGTCACTTCAACAGGAAAGGCCACTGCCACCAATGTCACAGGGAGGCTGGATGCCAATGGCCCTTAGCAGCACTGGGAGATGGACACGTCTGTCCCTCGTGGGAAAGCCACAGTCCACCCCGACCCTCCCCGATGGGGATGTCCAGGGAAGGAGAAGCCTGTGGGTGCAGCGCGGCCCACTCACCCCGGAACCAGATCCACCTTGTTGTGCACTTCGACCACGGAGTCCAGCAGAGGGGCGGGCAGGCCCAGGCCCTGCAGGGCAGACAGGACGCTGACTTTCTGCAGCTCCGTCTCGGGGTGGCTGACGTCTCTCACGTGCACAATGAGATCCTGGTGGACAGGGAGGCCACGGGTCAGGGGACTTCCATCCCCACCTGCCTGTGGACAGGCTACATGGTCAGGGGACTGCTGTCCCCAGCTGCCTGTGGACAGGCCACATGGTCAGGGGGTAAAGGTGAGGCCCTAAGCAGCTCAAGGAGACCCAGTCTCTAATAAAACACAAAATAGGCTGGGGACAGGGCTCCGGGGTCGTGCTCACCTGCCTATGGGCGGCCCAGGAGGGGCTCGAGGGCACCACCGCCTAGGAAGGTGGCAGTGGACAGGGCTGCTGGAGGCCAGGACATGTCCGAGGTGGACACAGGCTTCCTAGTTCCTGTGCCTGGGTCCTGCCACCGCCCGCCAGCACCCCGTCTCCTTGGAGGGAGAGCTGCGCTCAGTGGCTGGCCTGGCCTCCCGGGCCCCAGAACGAGGAGCTGCCCGTGGAGGCTGGCCGGCGCCCTGCCCTGGCCCCCACGCACAGCCTGGGCCTCCGTGAGGTCATTGTGACTTCTGCAACTTCTCCAGGAGGAGAGAAGCGTGGCCCACGGGTGGGGACAGTCCACCCAGTCGGGGCTGGACCGCGAGACGGTTTGCATGGGAGGTTCCTGGCTGCGCCACCAGTCACACTGCCCGTCCGCTCACCTCCGCGCCTGGGCCCCAGGAGCTGGACAGGCAGGAGGAGCCTCCCTGGAGCCTGTGACCCCTGGTCCAGCCTCTGCCCTCCAGGGCTGGGGGAGCTGGACTCCTGTGGTTTCTGTCCCCTGAGGAGGCCCAGGGACTCCTGCTGGAGCTGGAGGATCATGTCCTACAGAGGGGCCTGGCCCCCAGGGCTTGTCTATGGGGTCTTGTCCACAGGGCCACCCAACTCACCGAGTGGGCCACATCCTCCAGGGTGGCAGAGAAGGACTCGATCAGGCCGTGGGGCAGCTGGGAGAGGAAGCCGATGGTGTCCATGTAGAGGACGGTCATGCGCGAGGGCAGGGATCCTGCATGGGCCGTGATGTCCAGTGTGGCAAACAGCTGGTCCCGAGGCTGCGCGGCCTCGTCACCCGTCAGGGCCCGGATCAGTGTGGTTTTCCCTGGGGGAGGCACAGGACACACACATGAGGTCCCAGGGAGCTCCGCCTGGCCTGGCCACAGGCCCTGTCCACCCCTGAGACCCGGCCCTGGCAGAGGCAGCAAGATCCAGTTTACCCAGGCCCTGGGTGCCAGCTCCTCAGCGACCCTGGTGGCCAGAGAGGGAAGGTACAGGACTAGCCCTGGGTCGTGTGCAGCCAGGAGGGGTGGTGGTGCAGGTGACATGTGCACACAGCATGCGGTGTAGACGGTGGGGTGGGTGCTGTGGACCAGCCTGGTGTGGGGTGGATGGACCTGGTTCTGTGCACCTGGGGTGGGGTGGTGTGCATGGACCTGGTTCTTGCACCTGGTGTGGGGTGGTGTAGACGGACCTGGTTCATGCGGGTGGTGTAGACAGACCTGGTTCGTGTACCTGGTGTGGGGTGGTGTACACGGGCCTGGCGCTGTGCAGTGGTGTCTTGAGGATGGTGTAGGAACTGGGTCTGAAGGTGGCTTTGTGGTGGCCCCTGGTGACCGGCCTCCCCACTGGGCTGGTCCCTGGACCTGCCTCGGGGGCACCTGGGCCATACCTGGCTGCCCCTTCTCAGGCAGGACCCCGGGGCCCCGGGGGTGCGGACCGGGATCCTCCCGCGTGCAGAGCGCGCACTCGGCGGGCTGGCCGCGGGCGTTTATCCTGGGCAGCGACCAGGGGAGCCAGAGCCCGCGTCCTGCTCGGGCCTCTGCAGAGCTGCCCGCAGCTGTCTCTGGCCTTGGCCGCGGAACCCGGGCCTGGGCCCTGCCCCCCCGAGGCCGCACTCTGCGGGCGGCGCCTCACCGCAGTTGGTGTACCCGACCACGGCGACCACCGGGAACTCCCGCTTGGCGCGCTGCCTCCGCAGGAGCTGCCTCTTCCTGCGCAGCCTCTCCAGGGCCCTCCGGAGCTTCACCTCCTGCTCCCTCAGGAGGCGCTGCCGCAGCTGCAGGAAGGACTCTCCTGCAGAGCCCGAGGGCGGGCGCGTCAGGCGCAGGCGCGAGGGTCGCGAAGGAGCCAACTGCGCCTGCGCCTTCTCAGAGGGGCCCGCCCACCCACTTCTGCATTGGCCTGGCGCCTCTACCGAGCTTTTCCACACCGGACCCCGGCCAGCTCCCTTTACCCGGGGGAACCAGCTGAGGGGCGCCTCGGAGGGCAGCCTGGGATGACATGCAATAGGGCCAACGTGGCCCGCATGTCCCTGCCCTGCCCCCCAATCCTGGGTCATTGCTACCTCAGCCCAGAGAGGGCGATGACCGGGACCAGGCTGTGCGTGTCCCCAGCATTGGGGTGCTGGAGACGCAACTGCCAGCTCAGTAGCTACTTGTGTTCGGAGGTGGGGTCCCTGGGAGATGAATGGGCCACGCGGACAATGGACTAATCCATTCGTGGATGAGCGGAGGAGTCCGATGAGTCCACTCACGGATTAGTGGATTAATCCACATAAGGACTGGGTGCTCACTCATCAGTCCCCACTGCGTTAGTGCGCTAATCTGTGGTCGGGGGTTAGTCTATTTATGGGTCACTCCACCAGTCCCCAACAGACGCTGGCTGACACCTCGTTCTTGGACTTGCAGCCATCAGGACATAAGCCGGACAGACTATTCTTTTTGTTGTTCGCTGGGGTACCCGGGATCGAACTCAGGAGCAGTCGACCACTGAGCCCCACCCCCAGCCCAATTTTGGATTTTATTTAGAGACAGGGTCTCATGAGTCGCTTAGGGCCTCGCCATTGCGGAGGCTGGCTTTGAGTTCGCGATCCTCCTGCCGCACCCTCCCGAGCCCCTGGGATTACAGGTGTGTGTCACCGCGCCTGGCGACAGACTCTGTTCTTATCAATTGCCCGTTTGTGGTGTTCAGTGACGCAACAGAAATGAAGATAACATTAGCTCGGATGTGAGACCAGGCCCGCTGCGAGCCTCCCCGGGCTGCCTCCCCTTTCCGAGGGAGGCTGCGCTGACGTGCCCCGCCCCAGGCCACGCCTTACCGGACCCCATGATGTACCGAGAGCCCCCGCCGCCTCGGTCCGGGACAGCCGCGTCGTGCTTCAGGTTCGACCTGGTGTGGAAACAGGACGCACTTACCTGCTGCGGACACGGGGTCCCTCCCGAAGAGCCAGGCAGGGGCAGGGGCTTTGACGGCAGAGAGGGAAGCGCTGAGGGGGCCTCTCCCTGGGTGGTGGGTCCCCCACTGCCAGGGGTGGCGCTCCACACCTGGGGCTCCTAGGGGGAGGACGTGGAGAGGGCGCCCCCCGGAGCCGAGCTGTCCGTGGCTTCTCTTCTCTTGATGCCCGTGTGACAAACCAGCTAATCCAGAGGGGCCCCGGGGCAGTCAGGCCGGATGGGCCGCGGTACCTGAGCAGGGGGATCTCGGCCAGCGCCACCTGCAGCCGGGCCTCCTTGGTGCGCGCGTGGCAGCGGAAGATGTGCAGAACGACGGTGAAGCGGTCCAACACCCGCACGCCCCAGGCGGCCTCCAGCTCTTTCTGGAAAGGAGAAACGGGCAGGGAGAGGGTTCGGAGGGACCCGCCACTGCGGCTGGCCTCGGGCGGGATCCGCGGGACACCCTGGCCATGTGCTGCAGAGCGAAGCTTTCAACGCCAGTGTGGGGACACTCCGAGGTACCTTGGTGGGCGGGGACAGCCTCTCCACGTTCAGGAACACGCACGTGATTTCTGGAGACCCTCTGATTCTTTCTAAGGGCAAGAGAAGGTCCTGTCAGAAGCCCTGCCCCGGGGTCGTGGCTCAGACCCACCTCGCAGCGCGGCAGTGGGACGCACAGTGGCTGGACGGTTCCGCGAATTCCCAAGTGCATTGCAGGAGAAGTCGCCAGGGACCATCTGCAGGTGCACAGGCGACACCCACGCACCACCCACGCACACACGCACGCACAGCAGCATCTCAGAGACGTCTGGGCTCTGGTTCAATAGGACCACCCGCCCAGCCTCAGCGGGCTTTTCGGGTTCAGGGGGAGTGGGGAGCTCTGGAACTGAGCGGGACAGAGGTACAAAGGGCCCCGACTGTGGTGCAATGTCGGAGGGAGGGTGCGCTGGGGCTGCCACGGGTGCAGTTACCCCATCTGCTGGCACGACCTGCCCCCTGGGACCCCCAGGTGACTCATCCAACCTGTGACCCATCTGAGCCCCATGCACAGGCCTGTGGGGACATCCTGCAACCCCCTCCTCTGCTGTCCCCTCCCACCTGAGACCTGCCCGGCTGCTTCCCGGGCCCCAGGGAGCCAGCCCTTGCAGGACTCTGCCTGCCTGCTCTTGGCAGAGAGAGAGGGGAGGGATACTCCCAAAGGGACTCACCTGTCAGGTGCTCAAAGTTCCCTTTGCCAAAGATGAGCTTCCTCTCAGGCGTTTTGGTGGACACCACCATGGTCTCCACCACAGACCAGCCAGCCAGCGTGTGGACCAGAGCCCGGGCTTCTGCCACCTGCCACTCGGCTGTAGGAGCAGACGAGCCACCCTCAGGGTAGGGAGCAGGCCATCCACACCCACCCAGGACACGTCCACCTGCCCTCCACCCCTGAGAAGTCGGTCCGAGAAGACGCCCAGCGCCCGGGGGTACTCCCGAGCAGCAGGGCTCCTCCCTGGGAGACCCCAGGTGGGGCACCAGTGGGGGGACACAGGAAGGAAACCGCAGCCCCCACAGGTCACCAGGACCAGCCCCTCTCTCCCTGGGGGTTCACTCAGGGAGATGCAGCTGGGACCTGGGACGTGTGCAGCATGGCCTCCGTGGCATGCCCCTGAGGCAGCCCGACAGCCCAGGTGGGTGCAGAGACCCGGGTGGGCCCTGAACTCTCAGGACAGACTGTGAGCCCCGTGGGCGAGAAGCAGCTTCTTTCCCAGCTGGCCCAGGGCCAGCGCTGGCCTGGCTGGGTGACACTCATGGAGGCCACTGGCTGCCCTGCTGGCCTGCCAGGACAGTGTCCCCCAGGGGCTCAGGACATGTGCAGGATGATGTGACGGATGATCTGAAGGGCCTTGGAAAGGCAGTGTCCACCCGGGAGGCAGGGGGAGTGGACGGAGCTCCTGGAGCGTCCTGAGAGGGGGCTGGGTGGGTCATCAGGCCCAGGCAGTGAGTGGGGGTCCAGGAGGACCCGGGGCTGAGGAAGCCTGGGAGAAGGCACTGGGCACTCGGGCTGGACACAGGCGCTGCCTGGTGCTTCTCTCATTTTCTGGAGAGCAAGACGGCAGGAGGAGGGGCGGACAGACGCAGGGACACCTGTGACACTGAGCTCCAAGGACAGGGGTGCTCTGAGAGCAGCTCCCACTGCATCCTGGGGCTTGGGAAGGGCACCCAGAGGGTCTGCAGTCAGGGTGCAGTAAGTACCTACATCTACGCCCCACAGTCCTCCTGCCTTCCTGGGTGCCTCTGGGAGGCATCCTGTCCCCCAAAGCCATGCCCACTGGGACCTCCGAATGGGACCTCCTTGGCCAACAGGGTCTTTGCAGGTTGTGATGGGTGAAGGACCCTGAGATGAGCCCCGCCTGGGTCAGGGTTATTGAATGGAGAACCCTAGGCCTATCTGGCCACCAGGACACTCAGAACAGGGTCCGCTATGCAATGAGAGGAAATTAGTGGATGCTCAGCGCGAAACCGTGCGACTTACTAAGGTGAACCCTAAGTTCAGGCCTCTTTATAAAGGAAAGGAAGATTTGGAGACAGAGATTCACAGCAAAGAGCCACGTGGAGACGGAGGCAGAGCCTGCAGTGAGGGGCCACCTGGAGCCCCGGGGGCCCCCTGGAGCCTGTGCAGGGGGCTCAGCCTAGGACCCTGGTCCAGCCTCCGCCCCCAGGGCTGGGGAGCTGGGTTCCTGCCACGCAGTGTGCAGCAGCTTAGGACCCTCGTAACATAAGCTGCCCGGACAGCTGGGCCCCTCCCAGCTCCTCCCCATCGGTCAGGACCAACTCCTCGTTCGCAGGCTGATTCCTCTCAGGTGACAACAGCCAAGCTCTCTCGGGACCACCCCCGGCCCCACGCCCAGGAGTGTCCCCCCTTATAGCACATTCTCTCAGCTGAGCCCTCAGCCACAGCAGGTGGTCCCCTCAGGACCAACTGTGCCCTACGCAGGGGTTAGGGTTAGATCCGCCAGTCCTCACCACTCACGGCACTGGTGGACCCGAGGACACCAAGGAGAGGGACACTCAGTGACGAGGGTGGCGAGTGGCAGCTAAGCAGAGGCCATAAGTGGGTCCCCCAGCCTCGGCACCAAGAGGGGCCGGGTCTCCAGTCTTCCCAGCTCACCCTCTTGGTGGCTCAGATCTGACACGTGGGGGGTCAGCTCTGGCCCCCATCTTACGGGGACCTTCTGTCCATCCCAAACTCTGGTGGCACCTCTTCCCGCCATCCCCGCTGGGGCCCAGCCCGGCCCCATCAGAAGCACTGCAGGGAGCCCACCCCACCCAGCTGTGCAGCCTCTCCACACAGCCACCTGCCAGGAGGTCTGAGGCACCTGCGTGCCACCCAGGTGTGCACCCCCAGGACCCAGCTCGCGGTCACAGCAGCGCTGTTCTGGGCCAGCGTCCAGGGTGGATGATAAGCAGAACGCGAGGTGCTGACGTGAGCTGTAGCTGGGACGGGCCTTGGCACAGGCACACCGCGGGGAGCTGGACACCGCGGTCCAGCTGCCGCAGGAGGCCATCTACAGGACATGTCCAGAACAGACAAACCCAGACAGAGAAGTGGATTCGAGGCTGCCAGGGGCTGGGGTGGGGGAGTGACTCATGGGCATGGGGTCTCCTTTTGGGGTGATAAGAATGTTTTGGGACCATACAGAGGTGGTGGCTGTTGGGAACTGCACTCTTCAAAATATTTAATACATGACTTATATCTAAAATCCCCCCAAACAACTTCAAGGTCCCACTGTTTGGTGCCCACCACCTGCTGGATACCCAGTGCCCATAGAGAGAAAATTCCAATTGCTACAAGACTACAGGACCGTGTGGCTAGCTCTGTCCCCAGCTACAGTGGCCAGCCCCGTGTGGGGAGATCCCAGGACGTGCTCCTGAGACCACCCTCCCTTGGGCCCAGCCCCTTGCAGACTGCCCCAGATCTGTGTGCTCCCTCTGGCAATACCCAGGAACAAAAGGCACTGCCGGCCACTGGCCATTCCAGTCGCACACCTTCGTGCCTCGAGGGTGTGGGGACCAGGTGTGACATCACCTGTTGCTCACGTTCCCCTGACCCCAAATCTGCTAGCAGCGCCCGCTGTCGGGCTGCAAGAGAAGTCAGATGCTCCAGCACCACCGCCCGTCCCTCAGAGTCCCCGCCCGCAAAGACTGTGCCCCTACAGCTCCATCCTCGGTTCCTCCTCTGGAGGCCCCGCCCCCGGCCCTCCGCCCTATGAGCGCTTCCACTGTGTTCCCGCCCCTCGCAGGCGGCCATA